TAGATATGACACATTTAGAACTAGACCCATATCCAGTGAGAATTTTCCAGTTTGAATTTTGAAATAAAAATATTTTTCAAGCAATCCCTAGCTATTGCTTGTTACTATGGAAACAGCCCTATTTGTCTGAGAGCTTTGCCTGCTTGCCAATGGGAGCGCGAGCAGCATCAACTAAACATATGAATACATCAAAGACAAATTCATATGCTCAATCTGATCAGCTCAATTAATGTAAGAACAGAAGCTGAAGGGGGTTAAAAGAGGGCATTCATTCAGGATAGATGAAGCCTCTTTTAGCAGAATATATACACCGGCCTTTTGGGGGAGGAATTTAGCACACTGTCAAAAACATTATCAGAAAGGAAAGTACTAGGCCTCCTACACCTAACAGATATGAAGCTGTCAGACAAAGAATAGCACTATTCATTAAATGACACTTATTTTCTCCCACTTTACAAGAATATAGTGAACAAAACAAGCAGGGGAACAGCTGAGAGAGACACTTTTTTCTTCTCCTGGTGATGACAGACATTCAGCAATTATGGTGATAACTAAGGAATACTAAACAAGAAGCCAGGCTCCATTCTGTTTATCACCTAAAATTTTATGTTACTAAATTTGCATGCAACTCTTGTTTTGTTTTATTATTTATGTCTAGGGCAAATTATATCCTTTTGTTTTTAACATGGTGCTTTCAGTTTGGTGAAGAGTGCTGCTAAACTATACACATTTTCCGTTCTCCTTGTTAAATGGCCATATCAAGTTGAAGTGCTTTTAAAGTGAGAGAGTTTCAAAGCACAACAAAACTGCTGTTTCCAGTGGAAGGAGAAAGAACATTAGTATAATGGCAGGTATTGTGTACTATTTCTACTACACATAATTTCAAAGACAGTTAGGGAAAATCCGTGTTAATTCTCACCTTGATTTGCAGAAAGTAATAGGATTTTGTTATTTTTAGTGTTGCTAATTACACGTTCCTATTAAGTTTTTAGGTGTTTTGTAAGTTAGTTTTACAGCAGATAGAACTGAGTAGGAAGGCCCTCAAGGCTACTGGCTTTTAAGAATCTCGTACACGATGATCTGATTTAAGGTCTATTATCAATAGTCTGCTACTATTATCTGCATGATCATGTCCTGATTGATACTGACTTTTAGCCATGTATTTCGTAATATGCTGTCGGGCAATGCTGACAGCTACAATGAAAGAGCAATAAATGTGGGGCAGCTCTAATGTAAAGGTCCAGCCAGGCTGTATGAAAACTGATAGCTGCAATATTGGCTCCTATGTTACCACACATACCAGTCCCTTTGAGAATTCCTTAGTGAGTGAATTAAAATGGTCTTCTGATATACAGATAGAGGGTGAGGGAAGGTCTTCACTTAAAGAACCTGCAGATTGCTAAAATGTTATGTTAAAGTCAATAGGTAGACATAAACTTAGTTCAGAAAAAAAAGTTTCTTGTCTGAAAGACAGATGCACAAAAATTGCTGTGGGTATTTATGAGCAACCTTTTGATTTTCATTTATTTTTGCATATGTTAAGATAATGCAGCAGGAAATCTGCAGATTCTAGTGTAATTAAACTGAAACTCACTAATCTCATAACTATTGCTCTAAAGCAACTCATAATGACTTGAACCAGTCCTCAGTTTTAGCTCTATTATGTATTATTTCAGTATTATTTTCTGTATTGCATATTATTTTGATATTATGTGACATACTGAATGCAGTTCTTTTTTTTCGTGTTGTGAACATATGTAGGTGCATGGCCTCTATTAAAGTAAAGAAACTAGTAAAACGAAAATAAAGCAAGTTCATAATGGATTATTATAATCCTGTGTCTTTGGTTTATAGCTTTTTTGTAGTATTGAACACTTCGAGAACCTGTAGATCAAACAACATCTAGCTTGTAAAGACGCTAGAAAGACATATTTTCTTGCATACTCAATCCTTTTATCAAATAAACAGTACTAAGTTGTAAAAAAAAAAAGTATAAATACAAGTACTTGCTTTTGCTGAATTATTTTATTGTTTAAGACTCCAACAAGTTCAAACTTCTGTTTTGTGAAGATAAAAATCTTTTTCTCAACTATATGATGATCCCTGTTATAAATAGGTATTATAAAAAATAGATACTAATTATGTTACTTTAAAGACATTTTTAGTTACTTAAACATATTGTAGTCCTGCTTGGACTCAGAAAAGCATTACTTTGAACTAAAATTAATATTATGATTTCACAATTTCATAATGAAAATGCTGGTAGGTAGGTCTGTCCATCTTGGAATGAAAAAGAAGGGTTGTTCATATGCTGTTTAAACCTTTCCTAACCTTGATAGAATATATTGAATTAATGTCCCCAGAGTGCAGTAGCCCAGTTTGTGACCTGTTTGCTGTGTCTGTAACCGTAGAGCACTGAGCATGCACCGTGGATAATGTGCACACTCGGTGTTAGTGTGAGACAGTAACATGCCATGGTGATGTTGGTGTGAGCGTGCAAACTGTGTGCGAGCGCTGACGCCTTGAGTTTATGGCACACCACTTTCTACTGGAGAGAAAGTCAGTTTCTGACTTTATGATTGTCTACTTTATAAACATTGTAAAGTGTAGGATCTCTACTATAAAGGAATTTAGATACTTCTGCTGAGGGTAAAAGTACTTTATAAGAGTGTGAAAGAACTCCAGAGAATGAATTAGAAAGTAGAGTATTTTGAAGATTGTGGACAAATATATAATCTGCTGATTGATGAAACCAAAAGGCCAACTTCCTGTACCCTTAATCATGAAATGGTGTTCTTTTGAATTAATGTTACAGTGGAGGTCTTTCTTCTACGTTTTGATAATCAGTATGCAGCATTCAAGTTCCTAAAGCAGTTAAGATGCTTTTACATTATTGTTATTTAGAAAAGTATATTCTTCAGTTAGCTCTTTCCTTTTCTGTAGATAGGGGTTAAAATGACTAACCCTTATAATTTAATTAATAAAAAGAAAAATCCAAAAACCGAAACAGATCTAGTGTGACACCTTGCACAGTATGCCAGGAGTCAGCCCTGAACTAAGTTTTAATTTTCACATTATAACCCTCTGAAAGTAGTGATGTATAAAAGGACCACTGACAGACCTTGAATGGCACTTGCATTGACGTAGTAGGCCCATTTGGCACCCATAATTAGATCTTTTGTGTCCTTGCGGTTAGCTAAAAAAATGCTCCCTAGTTTATTAGAAGAACTACCTCAAAATTAGTCATCAAAAGCTAAGTTGTGTATTGATGATGGAAATAAAAAGTTACATATCAATAATGTTCTTAGTTTTGAATTCATAATGCTGATATCTGTTTTATTTTCATTTAAAGACACCCCACTGAATAAAGGTTTCCTTCAAAGATATCCATCTGACACAATTCAGCAATACAATGAATTTTGGAGCATGAGCTTAACTTTTTTCTTTAATAGGTCATACTCAATATAGGTATTTGTGGAGTACATTGGACACTGTACCTAATGATTGGCTTACCAAGAGACATGAACACATCTTTTCCAAAAGTTCTTGTGATAATTTTGACTTGTTAGAATCTCTGAATCTTTTCAAATTTGCTCAAGTTTACAATGAAATGCATGTGAGTTGAATTGTGAGCTATTTTGTACACAGTAGTAGCACTATTGATCTGTGATGTTCTAGTATTCTTGAAATGCCAAAGCTTCTGTAATACATTAATTGCTTTTAATTACTCTTATTCTAGAAGAAAACAGTTAATCTGCGTTTGGACAGGAGCAAGGAACAAATTTTCTAGTTTTTCTGTTTAGGCAGTTGTTTTTTTATGTTGTTTCCTGTAATATGGAGAAGCTCACAATGTTGTGAGAAAATCACAGTGCAAAGCAGAAGGCAATGTTTTTAATTTCTATGTTATGCACAAGAAATAAAGTAAATCATTGCTTTTTAGGAAAACCAAAATTAATAGTAGGCCAAGAAAATATTTTGTTACATGTAAGATGTAATGACATAAGCTTAATTGCACACTGGAGGTCACCCTTGCTACTCCAAATTTTTTTATAGTTTTCTAAAAAAATAAAAAGAAGGCAAACAGCCTTTTAATACACACGTGGAGCTTTTAAAATACTTCTAGCAGTATAAGCGTAATCCAAGTACATGTTTATTGTTGTGTTAACTCTTTATTTGTTTAAGCAGTATGCAGTATGCAATATATGTATAGGTCTACAGAAACACTTTTTGGGGTGTATTTTCCTAAAGTCCCACAAGGGTTCTATAGTCTGCATTGCAACCGCTGCTACAGGCAATTCCTTTTATCACTCTCCAGGAAAGTTTGTTTAGAAGCTGGTTCTAGCACAGCTACCAAAATTGCCATTACTTTGCTAGATTGCCTTGAGGACCCATCCAAAGGCATACAGGAGTATTAAAGTACCATCAAAATAACTATTATGCCATTACAAAGGTGCAATTAAATGTTTTATTCAGTTGATGGGCAATGTGGCCGTTTTACTGTTGATTAGCCTAAAAACAGAGCTGAAGAGGTCTTGAGAAAATCTGTCCACTGAAGTCATAGAGATCTCAAAGAAGTTTAAAATTAAGCAAATATCCTTGTATTTTCAGTCTTTTCCATGCCAGAAATCCTTCTGATAGATCAGACATCTACTGTAGCTGTAAGTATGCAGTAGTATAGGGAAAATATATGGGTGGGGTGGGGTTTTTTTTTGGTTTTTGGGTGGGGGTTTTTTTTGGTCATTCTGATAAGTCATCATAATGCAGTTTGTTGATTTTTTGTTCAGTTTGTGAAATTTTTTGGGTGATGATAAAATTGACCCTAATTGCTTGCTGATGTGCTGGTATAAACATGGCTGCACTAACCAGGTTAAGTTTTAGTGTGAATTTTTTCTGTTGGGATGTAAAAACATGGTTGCAATTCTGAAAGAGGCCTGCAAATGTTGTGTAACATTATCATAATTAATTAATAAGAGATGCCTTTTGAGTAGCTTTAACTGAACAGAAAATGAAGAGGTGGAAAATGTGAAGAGGGTTTGTTTTTGACTGAGAAACAAGAACAAACTCACCCCACCAGGTCTTCATTATTCTAGCATCTTGTGAGCAAGAGCAAGTCATGTCTCCTAGCTGACCATTAAAGCAGCCCAGTCCCAAAACCAAGTAGTGGCCCAACATAGGTATTCACAGTTCAAACTGTTTCTTCACAAACACTACTGAGTGTTTGACTACTGAGAATTTTTTTCTTGACTTAAACCAACAAACACACAAAAAGCCCTAATAGAATGCTGTCTGAGGGAAGATTTCCTAAGATTTAAGGAATTGTATGAATTTAAGTAGACCAGTAGTAAAATTTTTCATCTGTAATTTCATTAAAAGTGCATATCCATTGAGATCACTGAGTCATGCCTAAAATCAATGAAATCTGTGAAAAGTAGCAGTTAAATAAACTGACATACTGTCAATCTATATTCTCATTGAGAAGACACAACAGATACATACAATTGATAAAAAATAGACAATTGAAAAAAGTGGTAGTGTAAATAGTATTTGAAAATAAATTAGAGTCTAGTTGTAGTTGCAGATTTCTGGAAAAAACATACAGATTCTTCATATTCTGTTGCAATATGATCTCAAGATAGAAAAGTTTTTGAGATACTTATATCTTTATAAATAGGAATTATTTCATCACAGGAAAAAAACAATGAGAATCTCATAGTTAGATCAATATCAGTTTGGGGGATTTATGATGATGAGGACAAATGAGAACTTAAAGGAATGTATTTTGTTGGGTTTTTTTAATGATATCTGTCATTTTATGATGAGATATATAAGACTTCAAAGACATTTTATAAGACATTTAAAAAGTCAGGCATCAAATCCATTTTTACTTATTCTGAGTTCTCCCTCCATTCTAACATGAAAAATCTTTGGCAGATATTTGAGCTATTTTCAGTCTTTATAAGCCACAATTTAAATTAAATATTGCTTGGTGATTAATTGTCATAATTGTGATGCTTAGGGGAGCTGGAACAGAGGCTACACACAGTTAAGAGGGATAAAACAAAAGGCCACATCTTAGCAGTATCAGTACCCCTGCCTTGATGGCTCTAAGATGGAAGCAAAAGAAGGTTTGGGCACAAAATCTCACACTTTTATAGGTTTTGGTTCGTTTGCATGAACCCACCCTCCTCTTTCCACGTTGTTTGTGCTTAGGGCCTGAAGTTTAAAGAAACTGTCCTTGAGTTCTTAACTGGAATAGGACTGTTTTGTCTTCATCACCCTAGCACATCAGAAAAGCACATCCAAGCAGAATAGAAAAACTTAAAACTTAAGGCATCAATTGGAAAATAAGAATGTTAGTATAAGTAGACAATAATACAATAGAATGGAGCTAGTTGAATTTTAAAATGAGAGAAACTTCAGTAATAAATTGCAGATGTTGAAATAAACTGAATTTTTGTTGAGTGAAGAGACTTCTAAGGAACAGAAAATAGAAATGCTTAATAATGGTGGAAGTGGTTTTAGTTATTACACTGGCTGTTTGGCAAAACGTTTTTGCAAAAGAGTCTATCATTATGGACATGTAAAAATATAAGAAACTGAATATTAATTAAAAAATCATTGTCATCATTCATACCGGGTAATTGCATCAAATTGGTAAAACATGCTGAACTCAGTTAATACTGAGTTTTATTCAATAGGTGAATAAAACAGTTGTATAGGTAACAGATTAACCTGGCTCTCAGTTTCATACTACATGTATTCTCAGTACTTGAAGAATTTATTAGTTTTTCACTTTATTTTACTCCTTATTCAAAACACATGACTGCAGAACTGAAATATGTAAATAAACAGTTAAGCCAGTACATTTTAGGATACAAAGTTATATAATTTATTTCTTCATAGTAACAGCTTTTTGTTTGTCTGAGTGACTCTAGTGTTAGTCAAAGCTAGTATTTCAGTGCACATTTCTGTTCCAGTTATACTATTTCTAAATATCTGATAGTTATCTTTGGAAATTGCTTCATTTCTCCCAAGCTATTTCAAAGTTTCAGTTGTGAAATCTTTATTCCTAATGAATGCGGGCTTTTATCTGGAAGTTAATACTTCAAGATATACGATGAAGATCATGGCTTTGAAACGCAAAACAAAGCATTTTAGTTTGGTGTCATTAGTCCCTGTAGCTAATAAGTGTGCTTCTTACCTGATTCTTTTACAAATGGAAATGTGTGTTCAGTGAAATAACGCTTTGGGGATTTTTTTATTTAAAAATTTTATAAACTCTGAAAATTCATGGAGCAAGATGCATGCATAGTGTTTGTTACATATAGAAGTGTATATAAGTATGCATATTAGTTGTAAAAATATCGTATCTCAGAACAGAACTTATTCTAGCAGGGATGGCATTTCTGATGATCTGTAGTTCTTGTGGGAAGGCATTTTGCAGTCTCAGACTATGCCAACACTTTTTTTTCCTTTTTCTTAGAGCTTCTTTAGGTCAGAGGACTACTGTCTGGCTTTAGTCAGGCTTTTAGGTAAGCTGCTGACACCTTTTTGAACAGACTTTGAACATCACCACTCTAGGGGAAGCTACTGTGGCAAGTGGAGATATTAATATTTAAGAATACACCAGCTAAAAGCCCTAATGGTAAGAAAGCACATCTTGTTAAGGAAGAATGCACTATACTAGCCATTTTTTAGAATGAAAATGTGTCCAATTATTGCATATAGTCCAGCCAAGGAGTGAATGTAATGAGGCTAGGACATCACTCATTCAGCCATTTTTGGATAACCCTGGTCTGACCTCATGGCTGACCCTGCTTTAAGCAGGAGGTTGAGCTAAGGACCTCCTAATGTCCCTTCCAACCTGAATTTTCCTATGATCTTATGATCGTCCACCAGGATTGGAAGAAGTTTCCTAGCAACAAGAAACTGAAGGCATTGGTAATGGTTGCAACTTAGTGTCGGGGAAAAATCCCAGAATTCTAATCTATGAGTTGAATTGACCAATATTATGTATGTCTCCCTTAAAGCAATGTAAGCCATACATTCATTGTGAATCCTTTGAAATGCTTTTTCTATCTGTACATCTGTCATGTTCTTCATTTCCCTTCATGCAGCTCTCTCTCTTTCTGATCTGATTTAATCCATTTACTGACTGGTAGACGATACTGATATAGCTGTAGGTGGTGATGGATAGATAGCACTTCGGCAACCTCAATATACTGCTGGTCCTTCCTTCTGTGATATTTCTCCCAAATCATTCCATAGGTGGTACATGCTGAAATGAGAAGGAACAGAAAGTTCTGGAACTTAGTATATTGTCTAGTAATAGAGGAGGCACGCTGAGAAAATACTCACTCTATTTTATTAAGTTAACTGGGAATTCATGAAGGTCTCTTAATAGGGGTAACTATTATTTCTAGTCAACAGTTTTATGAATTATGGCAATAACATTAGCTCTGTCAAGACATACTAGGATTAATATGAATGTCAAGCCCTCTCCATTATTTTAATTGAGCCTATAACATTATTCATTAGATCAATTTTTTTTGGCTTTTCAATAAGCTTTTTAGGAGTTTGTTTGGAAAAGGGAAGGTTAATGGTTAGTCACAGTTAACTGGAATTAGTATATTCTCTATATATTCTCCGTATATTTTTGCCAAACTTTCATTCTGGTAAGCCTTCATTTTTGAAAGAGTAAGGAAAGGCTTTTTTTCCTGAAGTAATATGCTAATTATTCTTCCCAGTACCACTAGTTGATATTTATTATTAAGATTTAAAGCAGAAGGACATAAGAGTGACAAATACTGGACTGAAACCTTTTGTTGCACAATACTATGTGAAGAGGTAATGTAGATGTTAGAATATAAGAAAACAGTTTTGTGGGAATACTCAATTTCAGTTTCCTCAGTACTCTTCTGTTGTTCTACTCAGAACAGAATGATAGTTTCACATAATGGTGGCTGTTTGGCTGTGGTGTAAGCTGAAACTTGTCCTGATTGATTAAAAAAAACCAACTTCTTGATATAGACCTTCCTAGATACAGTGGAGGTAGATATAAAGTAATCTTGCCCTATAATGAAGTTTCAATGCTGCTTCTGAGAAAGTTACTGCATCCTTGCTTTGATGTTCTGCTTTTTGTGTACATATTTGTCACAATTTGTCTTTAATATAGAATATCAGTAAATAAAAAAAAGTATCTACTTACAAAATGTCACCAAATATATACAAACTGGTTATTAGACTTGTGATTGAGGCCAGTGTTATTTTATTCAGTAGGTTCTTGCTCCTTAGTTTATGGGCTTAATACTGTTTCAGCAAGCAAATGAATATGTTTAAATCAGAGATTTCTGGTAAAGCTTGAATCAATAATTTTCTTGTCATGGGGGAGAATACTCTTTGGTCATTATTTTAATATGAGAGAGAATAATCTCTTTAAAAGATCACAGAACCACAGAATATTCTGAGTTGGAAGGGATCCTCAGGATCATGAAGCCCAACTACTTAAGTGAATGGCCTGTATAGGGATCAAACCCACGACCCTGGCATTAACAGCACCATGCTCTGGCCAGCCCAGCTAATCTGGGGGGACTGGACTGTCCGGGATCTTGATCTCTGCAATCAGCATTTCATCTAGATTCATCTGTCTGCTTGCTTAGAGTGAGAACTTAGTTTATAAAGTTTCAAGATGCCAAGCAAGGAAATAAGAATGCAGCTGCATAACCTTCTTCAGAAGTTCTTCTTCTGTTTGTTTGCAAGCCGTCACAGCTCGTTAGCACTGGAATTCTGAGTGATGTAGACTTCTCATGGCCAAAGGCATATTTGATTTGATCAATTACTTAATAGTTAGAATTTGCATATATAGTAGGCATGCTCTCATACAAATAATGAAGTGTGGAAGTATTTGAACTGTATAGTTGTTAGAAATCCTTTTGGGTTTTTGTTTGTCTTTTTGTTTGGTTTTCAGAATCTTCATATGAATAATTTAGGTAAAAGCATTTTATGTTTCACCCTGATCTTGGTGCTGCAATTTTACCTTAGTTACTTCAGTGTGAGATCAGTTATTTCTCAGGTTCGTAAATCTTAACCATGCAAAGGTATGCATTACATTCTTGAATAATCAGTCTGCTTGCTCTTCTTTTCTTTCCTATACAATTGTTTTGCTCTTCATAACTATTGAAAAATGGTCATGGTTTCCACCATTTTTTTTTCACTTTAATTGAAGAAACTGTGAAAGTTTTACTAGCAAAGCAGTGAAATAGTGCATTTTTATTAGGACTGCCTAGGGAAAAATTAGAGCAGTAGTATCAGCTTGCAAGTAATTTTATGATAGAAATTTAAAATAAGACAGATATTTTGGTTTGGATTGTGAAATGGTTAACCCTACATTTTTCATAAAATCTCTGATTATGTTTTGGATAGGTTTCATACTTATTCAGGTTTCTATTGTGATGTTGCCTGTTCACTACAGATTCATGTATATCAGACCTAGAGATAATAATCTTTTCTACCCAGAGTGTTACCAACCTCATTTTAAGAATCATCCCCATCTTCGTCTCATTAGCCAGTAAAGAAATTAATAGTCTCCTAGTGCCTTATGGAATAACTTTCAGATTATTTAATTGTTTGTCAAGTTTTACATGGTTAGACTCTACTAATGAGTCAGAAGTGTCAGAGGAACAAATGTCCACAAACTGTCGTTATTCACCTGCCTGCACAGTGCAGAAATATTTTTTAATAGATGTGACTGTCTTGAATCATAATAAAAAGTTCAAACTGCCTACACAAAACCCAGCATCTTTAAATAAGTGTAATTCTAGCATAAGAAAGGGAACATGCCAGGAACCAGAATTTCATAAAAACACAGTACTTATCGGTCTCACATACTACATGTGAACAGGAGTATATATTATACCGTGGGTAAAAAGCCCATGCACATGCCAGCAGTTTTTATTTGAGTCAAGTAATCAGTGTCTTAAATTTTTCTTTTGGCCCTCCCATAAACCATTCTACATAGATACAGATTCATTAATTTCACATGTTCACCTGTAGTGCAAAATGTTGGAAGTAGTAATATCTAATATTTTTAGAATCAAGGAGAGAAAGTCAGAAGAAAATTTATTATGTGGACTTGCTCAGCTCCACTTTTCCTTGCAAATAGGAGTGTCCTGTGGTCTATGCTGCAGGTGGGACACTGATGGCATGTTTTCCCTTTCATTATGTATCTGGTAAACAGTTCTTTTTTATATTGTATATTGAATAGCAATATTGCTAACCATACCAGTTTATTTAATACAGTCTAGATGATTAGCATCTTAAGTGCAACATTTTTTGTGAGCCCTGAAGATCCGGTGTATTTGTGTCTCAGGTGAAGATTCATTTCTAGGGCATGTCCCATGAGAATGAGTTGTGATGGTCTTGTTTATTCCTGGTTTGATCTTTCTTTTTTTCTTTAACGTTTCTACAATTGTAATGGTGCTGGATTCAGACATTTTGAAGCAGTCTGAATGTGTTTTCTTTTAGGCTGTCTTGATGGATGTTTACTTTTGTTTCTTACCCCAAGCCAAGCCTCGGTAGAAGTGCTTGTTGAATACCATTTGCCTTTTACTTCATGAAAGATACAAAAATGTGTTACTTCTCATCAGGAAGCAATGATTATATTATCCATACAAAGATGGATATGTTGTAAATATTCATAGAAGACAGCTGCAAGCTAAAAGATGTTGCTCCCAAATCATAAGTTTCTTAATTACATCACTGTAAAGAAAAGATCAAAGATAATGTGATTTCATTTGATTACTGAGTCATCCAAATAAGCAGGGAGCTCTAGTGACAGTTTTTCTGAGGTAGCAGATTGCAATTGGTATTTAAGGAAAAATATTTTAAAACAATGCCCATAATTACACTTAAAAATATTAAAATAATCTCTGTAGTTTCCTAGGGCTTGATGGAGCTTAACCATTGGCATAATGATGTTTTACTGAGGCTGTTCTTAAGATATTTGCAAGCACCCCACTGCAGGGTGTAGGTGTGGTGAGTCACCCATTCAGCACACAGCTCCCATTCATTCATTCCCACACTGTAGCCTCCCCGATTTTGCATAACCCATGCGGCATTTTGTTGTCAATCAGCCTCGGTTTTGTACAGTAAGCTCTCTGGCTTTCTCTTGACTTGAATGAATAGTGCCATTCATTCACATCATGCTTTTCTGCAGATACTATTCTAATGGCTTCTAATGTGCAAGAACGGTAAGACAAGGAATTTTGTCTTACAAAATGCTATACTGCTTATAAAATGCTATTTGCTTACAC